GGCACACACAGACACAAACATGCATTCCCACCCTCATGCACACATATACAAATACTTAACACTCACCCAACGTAGGGATAGACATACATGGACACTGTACACACAATCACATTCCCCAAACAAACTCTATACCCCAGGTCCAGGTACCCTCGCCCCTGGAGGGGGAAACGGCATCTAGACCCAGGAGATGTTACCCTTTCCCCCGGGGTGGAGGCAAGTAGACCGCCCCAGGCTCCGCAGCAGCAGGGAGGCCCCAAATCCCAGATCCCAATCGGACGGTCAACACCTATATGTATGTGTTATGAGAGTGTGAGTAATGTGGATGTCTAAGTTGTGGAATAAAATTGAGGCACGGGTGGCCAGATAGAGGCACGGGTGAGGCACACTATAATTAAAAGATAAGATATGTGCAGTAGTATGGCATGCAGTAGTAAAGTGCATTACTGCTTATCTCATAGGTGCAGAAGAAGTTTTGATCCCTTATGGTGAACACACATTGACTTTATTGCCAGCTACAAACAAGAATCACTGCAATATGCTGAAGTAGGGTTAGAACACACTGACCTCACCTTACTTTCTGCTTTTATAACAACATTTTAAAAAGGACATTTCAGTGCCTCCTGTAGCTTCTCCCTCACTAAAATCTGATCAGAGCTTTTTGCTGTTGTCTGTCTTCTTTCTGTCTTTATTGTGTATTTGCTGGTTTTTCACAACCTTTTCTCCTCACTTGTTCTTCCAGCTATTTCTATAATATTGCTATTTTTCACCATTCACTTCCTTCTTTCTCTTTCACCCATTTCTCCTAACCTTCCCCCTGTATCTCTGTCGCCTTCTTTTCCAGCCACTGTTCCTTTTCTCTAACCTCCGTACAGTTTGCTCGCCTCCTCTTTCTCTGTGCAATGATGACAGGGATGCAGGCAGAAGCAGAAGAGAGTGCTGAGCTAAACAGAGGCGCACAACTAGGGCAGCACGACTGCCTCCAGGGGTGTGTGTGTGTGTGTGTGAGTTTTCTCGCGGACTAACACAAAAAATGGGAGCGACGGAGCGACAGGGACGGACATTCAAAGCAAGGTGGCGAGGCAGCAGTACAATTATAGCTACTGTACAAAAAAACCCTCTTTATTTAATAAAATTCAACCTTCTTTGTGAAACAGTATTGAAAAAACTGAAAATCAACAAAAAAGGAGACTAACAGTTGTGAATGTTTACAACAGTCCTTTCAGAAAATTATGTTAGATCTGGAGGATGGTTTGAAATTATTGCTGGATGTTTGTAGGGCTGATATGCCGTGACACGGTGCAGACATTACAGTGCACATTAATCTGTCAATTACTGGACTTCATGTAGTTAACGTGGGGGCTTTTTAATGATGACTTATTATTAGACATTATTCAGGCTTCTGTCATGCTCCTATTAGTTTTTCATGAGAGCTTGGAAGTGTTTGATCTTTAATGATGGTCTTGCTGCTAGTACACTGTACTGTAATGTACTGTCACCTACTCTACTGATAACCAACCATTGTTTTGGTGTGGCCTGTTTTGGCATAATAATGGATTATATGAAACAGAATCCTACGAATGCCAAAATGGGACCAGCAAAACATGTATTTGTTATATAGATGTACAGTAATGTGCAAAAATCCTGGGCCAGAATCTATGTTTGTGCTGGCTCGTTGGTCTAGGGGTATGATTCTCGCTTCGGGTGTGAGAGGTCCCGGGTTCAAATCCCGGACGAGCCCTGAATGGTTTAAAATTTTTTTCATGTTTTTTATGTTTGCCCCCCAAAAAATATAAAGAAATGAGTGGTAGCTCAAAACTATTGCATGTTAATGTTTATACATATTTTCCCAATAAAAACAGGACCTATCCATACATTTAGAAACACACTAACGTATTTCAAAAAACAGTTGAATATAAACTTGATCTCCTGATTGACATACTGTCACTACATGTCTACAAGTTGTTTTGTATATTTACTCCAAAACGTTGTTTAACGATCGCTTTCAATCTGTATTGTCATCTTTAAATAAAGTGACAAGTCACACATGGTCCCCTTTGTTTAAGTGTGAGGAGTTCAGCCCTGCCTCCTCTATGGAGAGCACAGGAGATGAGAGAAAAACAAGGAGGTCAAAATCTCCACTCACAGCAGGGTTTCGAGGGATGTCTCTGGTCGACAGCTGTGCTCCGCGTTATCAGATGCAATAATCGGCCTTTATTGGAACAATAACAGTAATTTAATTTTCAATCTTATCGGCCTGTAATATACTGGGCACCAATATATCATACTTATCTAATTAATAGTACATATCCTGTTACAGTAGTGGTCTGATAAGATATACACACTAAATAGAAACACTGAGGGACATCGTGATGACATCGTGATAACTGAGTTACAATCAGTGTTTTCTGTGTAACTTTTATTAATAACAACTAGGAGCCTTCAAAGTGCTTAAAAGAAGGCAAACTTATGTCATTATTGAAACAATGTTGCCTTGCTTCCAATATCAGCAGTTAGCTGAACTAAAATAAGTTGTAAGATCAATTTATAATTTGTGTTTTCATGCAAATCAGATTTCAAAGAGAAAAAAATATCAGTGTTACTTTTTGATCATGTGAAAGAGTCAGAAAAAAAGCATTTAAAGGCTGCGTAGAGACCGACAAGACGGAGAGTAGTATATTTGTACTGATGTCACAGTCTCCATGGAGATACTTGTTAGTATGTCAGACGTGTAGGCCCTCCCACTTGGCCAGGCTCAACCTCAGGAAACAGCAGCTCACAATGACATTTGTTCAGGTTGGCATATGTTTTTTCTCTGCGTGCATTTGAGCGCGTGCATCGGCGTGTACGAGCAGTTATGCTCACATGACTGTTTTTCCAGTGCGATGAACTCTGTCAACCAGTAGTTTTCATCTGAACTGAATCACAACAAGATTCAGATCCTATGAGTTGCAGCCTGCATATGTGCAAATATGTTTGCATGCATTTTTGTATGTATGACTGTCGGCATTTCTGAGAAACAGACAGTCACAGGCCGCGTGAGTGTGTCCCTCTTCGATGTATGTGTGGGGAAATGCCATGTTTGTGTGTAGATGTAGACTGTATGTATTATGCAGACCTAGGAGAGCCTTGTGCTATAAATAAAACAGGGCTGCAGTGTGCTCACTGGCGGAATAATCTATCTGACACTATGGAGAAAGAGGGAGAGCGAGAAGGAATGGAGCAGACAGAGACGAGTTCAGAGAGAGAGGAGCGAAAGACGAGTGAAGAGAGAATGAAGAAGAGGAACTGAAGAAAAAGGAAGGAGCAGGGTTAAGGACTGAGCAGGAGAGAGAAAAATTAAAAGGGGCTAATCCACAGGGCCTCTAGCACTTAGTTAGCATCATGACACAACTCAGAGTCATGTTCAAAAGGGCGGTAATGCCTTTCTTCACTATCTCCTTGTAAATCTGCCATCCATGCTCGCCTCAGTCTCTCCCTTCTACATTATGTCTGCAAAGAGCAAAAGGTGGCTTGTTTTGTTTATGTTCCTCACACCTGTGGTAAGGACATTTAGCAGGTCCTGCACACATTTGTCATTGGGTGTAAGTGCTTGTGAGCAAAATGTCAGAAGCTATTAAAACCTCACTGAAATCTCTCTGATACTGTGCAGATATTGTTGGCAGTAGAGCTGCCGGTTATGGATTGGGTCGCTTTTTTTTTTGTTACAGTTTACCCAACTTGACCACATCTTTTGACCTTTCGCCAAACCAGTATTAGCCTTCTTTGGCTGAAGTTTTTGTTGTCCATGGATCTACTAACATTGTAACTGTTGCTAATGCTAATAAACTTTATCCAGTTCTTACAGACCCTTTCCCAAGAAGTCTGCGTGCATTTATACATTATAAAACATTTGATCTTGCCTTTCAAAATCTTATTCAAAACGTTAGCTAAATCATAGTAATCTGCTGTTGCTGTAATTCTAATCTGTGTTGTAGTTACAGCATTGTGTATATGTACATTTGGATGCAGACTGCAATTTTTTGACTCATTATGTTATTATTTGTATGATTGCATATAATTTTTTTTATTGAAAACTAATATCGAGCACATCCAACAAACAGCCACCGAATAAACAGCTGTTGACCTTGAGCTATATCTAGACGACTATAATGGGGCTTGATATTGGATAATAGCTGGATATTAAAAACATCAGTAGGTCTTTTATCAGTCATAATCCAAACGTGTCACTTTTGTTTCATTAGTACAAGTACTGTAGATCATTATTTGTCTGCTACTAGTATTAATTGAACATGGTTATGATAACAAGAATCTGTCGTTTTAAAGCTACAAAGCTGATGTCAAAACCACAGTCTGCCTGCTTTCTTTAAGTAAAGAAAAAGTAAATAGACGTTTGCCTCTTTAACTCTTCTCCCTGCCAGGTGATGGAGTTGAAGGGTCAGATGATCCATGTGCCCGAGTCGTGCTCCGTGATGTTTCTGGGCTCTCCCCGTGTGGATAAGTTGGAGGAGCTGATGGGCAGAGGTCTCCACCTGTCAGATATCCCCATCCATGATGCCACCCGGGATGTTATCCTGGTTGGGGAGCAGGCCAAGGCTCAGGATGGCCTGAAGAAGAGAATGGATAAACTCAAGGTAAATCGGTTGACAGTGTAGGCTCTGGCAAAGTAACTAATTTACCCATTTAACTAATGGGAAGGCTTTCCATGAAGGTTTACGAGTGAAGTTTTGTGTTTTTGTGCTTCATCCAGAAGCACATTTATAGGTCAGATTAAGGACAGACCAGCTGTTTGGGCTTGGGGGGGGGGGGGGGGTTAGCACTAGCTAGCAACATATATCAAGAATAAGAAAGTGTATGGTCTTAAGCTATAGTCATTTCACTCATGTGTTTGTTACATTGCAATCTTTTCTTCTGATGCTAAGTATGAACTCAATGTTGAGAGTTACGGCTCATTGCTTACACAGTGAGTGTCTACAGCAAGCTACTCTTCTCTCTTTTTCCTCTACTTCCCACTGACTGCCTCGCTTCATGTGAGGCTCACCTTGTTCTTTGCTGCTGTTCAGTTTGTCAGAGACCAAGTCATGGCGCCTAAACTGGTGAAACTACACAAAAATATTCAGTATATTTATTTGAGCTTTTCCACAATGCGAACAACTGAAGTGAACAAATTAAATCCAGTGCCTCAGCTGTACCGGCTACTTAAAGCTCCATATTGACTGTATTAATGCATACTGCCTGGAAAAAATGTGGCTCCTGGGACTTCCTCTCATAATTTGCTTTCAAAGTACCCTTGAGCAAGTCACTGAGTCTTGACCCAATCCTGTGCGTCTGTTCATTGCATCACTCTCACTGCAACTACACCCCCAGGCTAGTGTTATAAATAGCTATGTCTGAGTCAACTTGCCTGCTTGAACAATGGTATAGCACTAAGAAGCTTACCCAGAGATGCAAATAAACATATACAGACACATACAATCCAGAAAAAACAATCACACATAAATACATTTGCATCCACCAGCATTTTTAAAAAATTTGATGCAGTACTCCCACATCTCAGCATCTCTGTCATCAGTGCCCTCTTCAAAGCAAAGCGCACAACCTCTCGCTCTTCTCTTCCAGGCCACATTAGAGCGGACTCATCAGGCACTGGAAGAGGAAAAGAGGAGAACCGTGGACCTGCTTTATTCCATTTTTCCGGGCGATGTGGCGCAGAAGCTGTGGCAGGGTCAGCCGGTGCCCGCTCGCAAGTTTGATGACGTCACGATGCTCTTCTCAGACATTGTGGGGTTTACTGCCGTGTGCGCTCAGTGTACGCCTATGCAGGTCATCTCCATGCTGAATGAACTTTACACACGCTTCGACTACCAGTGTGGCATTCTGGATGTTTATAAGGTCAGTAGACCGAAAGATATCCGCCTACTTCATAGGATGTAGTGATAATAAAACTGTGAAATATTATTTAGGGAGGAGCAGTTTGATTTGGTTGCAAATGTAATATCTTTACCGGTTAATGAGTGTACTTGTGTAAAATGAGTTCATTAAGATTGTTTTCCCAAATTTAAACCTTCCCAGAAAGTTAGAGCCCTCATTTCTTGGAATCTTTGGAGTGTTACCACACGAGCCAGCCTTTTCAGGGTGTGTCACTGTGTTTGTGCAAGTGCGTGTGCGTGCACTGTGTGTGTACGTGCCCTCATGTGTGGGTGCACTTGTGTTGTGGAAAAAGTAACTGATTAATGGCCAGTCTGTGAGAGCTTAACAAAGATGTGTCAATATTGTCCATCTGACAGTGTGGCTTTATGCCTAGTTACTGTATCACTGTAGTCTGCTGTCTTTTCCTCTTTTTTCATCTTTACTTTCTGTTACCACGTCCTCTTTTTTTCCAATCTTTTTACCTGTTTTCAATTTTTCCACCTTCGCTCCTCTCCATCATCGCCATCGTCAGTCATCTTTCATCTCTACCTTGGTACCTCAGTGAGCGTGACGGCAGCGTACAATTTCCCATAAAAATGCACTGTTACTGTGTTCTCTCTCAGAAGTGTCACACACATATCAGATACACGGCGAAGTGAGATGCAGAGGGTGAAGGCAGGGAAGTTGACTGTATGTAACGAGGTATATGTGTATAGCAGGGGAAGAGTTAGGGTGTCAGCTTGTGTGTGTCAAAGAGAAAGCAGAAACAGGAGGACATGGTGAGGAGACTGAATCACCCATATGTCGCCATTGTCATGGTTACTGTCGAAATGATTTAGCCGGTGGCAGGCCTTAATGAGAGCAGTTTGTCTCCAAGCCTCTCTACTCCCCTTCCCCAACCACCACACACACACACACACACACACAAACACATACTTCTGTGCCATTTTTTAAAAGTCTGTGTCCATGACACCTAGTTTGTGTTGTCATGTGGAGACATCCATGAAAGTGACACTTTGTTTGCTTTATTGACACGTGCGTTCTTAAACTGTTTACACTTGCTGCTACTGCAGACTAGGAAATACTTGGCTTTATGGCTTAAATCTTCTTCTGTTTATGCAGCAGTTGTCATAGTTTGGATATTACACAGAATCAGTATACTTGAGAAGAGGTGAAACCTCCCTTAAGTGTAAAATCCTCATTAATCAATGGGGATTGGAAAAACTAATGATGAGCACAGAAAATGTGACGTGTTTGGTATTCGTACACATCACACAGTTTCTGCCGATTTGTTAGCTACACCCTGATGTGAATCTCCTGTTTCACCACATCACAGAAACAACCGATTGAGATCTGATGGAGGCCATTTGAATACAGTGAATTCATTGTTGTGCTCAAGAAACTGGTTTAAAATGATTTGAGCTTTGTGACATGGCATCAGTATGATAATGTGAAGATGGGGTACACTGCGGTCATAAAGGGATAGACATGGTGAGCAAACTGTGTTGGTTAATTGGAGATAAATGATCTTTTCAGGAGCAGGACCACACCTCCAAACACGCCCCTTCTGGGTCTTATCTATATATGACCCCCCCAGTTCTTCGTGTCCCAACCTCCCTCCCCTTTTTCAACTCTTTCATTTCTTCATTTCTCATTAGTACATGGGGATCTGCCAGGCCCATCTAGGCCTTCCCCAAACCGCAGCTCAATTCTAGATTAAGCCATTCATCTTTATCTACTAAAAAATGCTGCCAAACCTAAAATAAGGACGTGGGCCCAGCTAGTGAAACGGTACTCAGTTGGTACTAAGAGGCACTATTGCACCACCACTGGCATCCCGAACTGTTGAGAGAAGGCAGGATGGGTCCATGCTTTCATGATGACCCTGTTATCCAAATGTTGTAGCAGAAATGGAGACTCATCAGACCAGGCAACTTTTTCCAATCTTCTACTGTCCAATTTTCAGTGAGTGAGCCCAATTGAACTGTAGCGTCAGTTTCCTGTTCTTAGTTGACAGGAATGGCACCTGGTGTGGTCTTCTGCTGCTGTAGCCCATTAGTTTCAAGGTTTAATGTGCTATATGTTCACAGATGCTCTTCTGCAGACCTTGGTTGTAACAAGTGGTTGTTTGAGTTACTGTTGCCCTCCTATCAGCTTGAAGCAGTCTGAACATTCTCCTCTTACCTCTGACATCAACAAGACTTTTTCACCCAGAACTAACTGCCTTTTCTCTTTTTCAAACCATTCTCTGTAAATCTGAGAGCTGGAGATGGTTGTGTACGAGGCTATCAGCAGTCTTTGAAACACTTAACGCTTTCTTTCATCATCATCTTTCTTCCTCACTCTGATGCTCAGTTTAAACTTCAGCAGGTTGTTTTAATCGTGTCTACATGCCTAAATGCACTGATTTGCTCACGATTTGAACTGGTGTAAATAACAAAGTGGCCAGTGAGTGGATTTAGGTTGATCCAAGCATCTCTGCCTCCCAACCATTAACAATGGTTAATATATAGGACAATCATCAGGTTCACTTACCAGCAATTCACCATAGTAGAAACAATTATTTTTTTCCACTTGAATGTAAGCTTTAGGTTGATCCTGGTTAAGTACAAAAAGTTTTAAAATGTTCATGGTTTCCAGGAAAACAGATAAAAATAAACCCACAATTGATTGGTTTTATACAATACTGATAATTTTATCATGATTAACTCATTCACTGCCATTGACGTCTATAGCCGTCAATTGCAGTGAATGAGTCAATGGGTTTAACTCATTCACTGCCAATGGCTGGCAGTGAATGAGTTAAAAACATTTTAACTTTTTTTTGTCTAAGGCAAGAGAGATATGCTGTAGTTTATATATTTTATCAGGAATGAGAGCAAGGAGAGGTCTCTGCAGAGAAGTAGTGAGCATTCCTCAAATGTTTTTGGGCAGAGATGGGCCAGCACAAGTCACTTCAGCCAACCATGTCCAACAGCTGAGGAACACCCACTCGGGCTCTGTAAAGGCTCCTTACTCATTGAAGTCCTTCAGCTTTAGCTTAACATAGTTACATGTACTCATAGCCACTCTTCATTTTGCAGATTGAGACAATAGGTGATGCCTACTGTGTGGCAGGAGGGCTTCACAAGAAGGTTGATAGTCATGCAAAGCCGATTGCACACATGGCTCTGAAGATGATGGAGCTTTCAGAGGAAGTGTTGACGCCTGACGGTAAACCTATCAAGGTGAGTTTTCATTCATTTTCCATCTTGCGTCCCTTATAATAATTTCAACTTGCTAAAGGGGTTGAAAGCGTCTGTTTATTCTCTCCTATTCTGCATCCCTAACCTTTTTTTCCTGCTATTTATCTATTTTTTGTATAGAAAGCTGTCTCCTGAATAAGTTATATACAGTTTAATCTTGTGCTACTGTTGATCCTGTACCTAGGTTTACGTTTCAAACTTCATGTGTGTGTGTAATTGTAAAGCAAATCATACTAAAGGGCAAATTCTGCTGAATTGGTTGTTATCAAAATAACTTAAGCTGATCCGAAGTCCTTCTGTAAGGTTGTGGTTACAATTTGGTGCCGAATGATGCTGTTTATCTCTTCACTTTCCAGATATTGACATTCTTGACAATGTGGACTGATCAAACCAAGTGTGATCAGACAGTTACTTGCTGATCAGAATCCCAAATATCTCACCGTATCCTCTCCGGTTATCAATCGTTATTCCATGGCAGTTTAAACAATGCATTCAGTCATAACAGTAGCTAAATGACTGCATGCAACAAAGTGCAAGTGTTTGTTTTCACATAAGCTTCATTAGTCTAATATTTCCCTTTTAACAGTTTTCTCTGATTCATCCACTTCCAACAAGATGAAACCTTAGTTTGAGTGCACCATTCACTGAGCTGCCTCTGCACTACGATAATGCTTCCTTAACAAGTTTAGTTTGCAGTCATTTCTCTTTTATGTCCTGTGGTTATAATTATAAATAAGACTTTGTGAGACTTTCTAGCAGTGCCAGAAACAGAAAGAAAAAATCTGAAAACATGAATACGGTTTTTGAAGACATTAGTGACATTTATTAATTGCCAAGAGATTTTCTTGGCATATTACCACCCTTAAGCCAAGCACCGAATACTTTATTTAGAAGTGCCGTGAATTAGCCAGCTATTGTGAAGCTTTGGACTGCATGCTTAATTTGAAAATTTCATCAGCCAGTTAGCACTATTAACACATTGGTTAAAGATGCTTTAAAGATCCTTTCTTGAACAAGAAGCATATTTATATGCAGTGTGCATTTAAGTGAAGAAAAAAAACACTCTTAATCCTGCATTAATTCTAGTTTTGCAGCTGTTATCCCAGGATATCAACATGTGTGACAAAACATACTGTGCGTACTATATGCAGTCATTTATTTTTAGTACTAAAAAGTGTTCCAGGAAGAGAAGAACACAGGTAAACATAGGCTCCCCTTTTCCTTTTTCTTGATTCTTCCCTTGTTACTTTTTCTATCTCTCAATTTTTCCATGTTTTCTAATCAATAAATAATATATGTTAAGATGGTTTACCCAAGCCAACAACATATTTAAGACACAGCCTAAGTGTTGCTTAGCTGACATTGGTGCAGTTAATACTCTTTTTTTATCTTTCTTTTTACACCAGGTCCAACACATAAGTTTGTTGTATTTTATGGACATTTTTATGTCCTATTGTTGTTCTATTGTCGTGTGAAAGGAACACTTAATACAGTTATATTGCTAGAAAAATATACTACAGGATATGGACAAAAGTATCTAATCTCTTAATCTTGGAATTCAGATGTTTACAGTCAATTCAATTCAAATTATTTTATATAGCACTAAATCACAACAACAGTTGCCTCAGGGCGGGTTTACAATATAGGTGACAACCCTACAATAATAAAGAGAAAACAGAGAAAACCCCAACAATCATATGACCCCCCTATCAGCAAGAGCTTTGGCGACAGCGGGAAGGAAAAACTCCCTTTTAACAGGAAGTAACCTCCAGCAGAACCAGGCTCATTTGCCAAAATCGGACAAAGACATGCTGTGGATTAGAAATTAATAGACAGAGATTAATAATAATGAATGATTAAATGCAGAGAGATGTATAAACAGAAAAAGGTGAGTGAAAAAAGTTAAGTGAAGAAGAAAATGGCATCATGGGAAGCCCTCAGCAGCCTGGACCTATTGCAACATAACTAAGGGAGGGAGGATTGCCCTAACTATAAAGTTTGTCTTTTTTTGCCAGTCCCATTTTTACAGGTGTATAAAATCCAGCCTGTAGCCAAGCTGTCCGCCTTTACAAACATTTGTGAAATTGTGGGTTGTTCTAAAGAGCTCACTAAATTTGAGCCTAGTACTGTAACAGGATGCCACCACTGCAACAAGTCAGTTCGTGGAATTTCTCCTCTCTTAGATATTTCATGATCAACTGTAAGTGGTATTATTGCAAAGTGGGAGTGTTCGAGAACCACAGTAACAGTAAAGTTAGAGAGCAGAGTCGACAAGTGCTGAGGCGTGTAGTGCGGAAAAGTTGGCAACACTCTGCTGACTCAGTAGCTGTGGAGATCCAAACCTCCTCGGGCATTAACATCAGCGTTAAAAACTGTGCTCCTGGTGCTTCATGGCCTGGGTTTCTATGGCTGAGAAGCTCCTGTAGGTGTAATGTGTCCATATAGTGCCACATTTAACAGCTGCACTTGAAATAGTAACAGTGGTACTGTCCACATCATGTTGGTGTTGTGAGCTTTGACACATCATCATGAAAGCTAGTTTGTGGAACTGCATTTAACAGTGGTCTCACTGTACTTTTAAAAATGCTTTAAATTGTGTGTGGCTTCAAAGAGAGAGGAGAAGGAAAGCTGCGGGAAAAATGATGAGTACAGTATTTTAAGCAGGAAGGGAAGCAAAGAGTCATGAAGGAGTGAACCGAGTTTCAACCTCTCATGTTAATTTAGACGAATAAAAAGGAAAAGGGAATGATTTATTTATGACTATCCTTAGTCCAGTCACTGTGAAGGTCACCCAGCACACTTACGATGCCAAAGTGGCTTTGCAGGCTTTGCTGTATTAAATCGTATTACAGGCTGAGGCTTTGATATTCAGTGTTTTTCTTATTGGGAATAACCAAAACATTTAGAAAGTCCTAAATAAGAGATACTGAGTAATGGGTACTTCTGGTTTAGTACAATTTTGCAAAATATGAAATTAATTAGCTCTTTTTTAAAAGACAAAAATGGATATTTGTGACTTTAACAAATTGAGGAACAATAAACATCAAGACCCACAAACCAGGCATAAGTGTAAGAGAGACTAAGATGGACAAATGTTAAATAACAGAGAGAATGCTGCTCTGTGTACTGCATGCTCCTAACATTGTCCATCCATCTTAAAATAGAAAGACCTTGCCAAGCATTTTTGGCCTGCTCTCTTGCTCTCCCACTTTCTCTCTCTATTTTCCCCTTCCCTTCTTTATCTTTCACCTCCGCCTCCTCATCTCCCCGCCGACTCCTCCGCAGCCTGGCTCAAACTCCTTTCTTTAATTTCACCTCTTTCTTTTTTTCCCTTCATCCCGAAATGCAGTCTTGTTCTGCTTTCCCTGTTTTGCACGCTTTGTGATGCTCTCCTCCTTATCTCTCATCACTTTATGTTGGCATAAAGATATTCAACACTTCAGCATGACAAATGGTGTTCAGCGAGTGCACTCAGCTCCAGCCAATGCTGCACTGTTATGCAAACTAACACGAGAGCTGTGAGAGAGGAGTGAGAGAAAATGTTTAGCCATGGAGAGAAGACTGAGCAAGTGATCGAGTGACACAGAGACATATACAGAGGAGATGTCAAGAGAGATTCACGTATAGAAACCAAACATTGTGCCGTATGTTGTTTTTATCTACATTATTGCCTCAATTACAGGTCTATGCCACGATCTGTATGTATGCGTGTGCTTGTGTGTATGAGTGGGTGTATGAGTAGGTGAGCAGGTGTGGATGGGAGTGATGTAGTGCTTGCTGCGGCTAATAGGAACTGTTCCCAAACCTCAATGGTTTTCTCACCAAATATACTTCTCAAAACACACTGTGTTAACACTCTCTGTATGCAGGTTTATATTCAAACTAAACAGTTGTTATTCTTTTTTAGTGGGCCTATCCCCAGCAAACAGAGACTGCATCTGCAGAACTGAGAAATGGACATGGACGTCCATGCAACCTGTATAGGACATTTCCATGCAACAACCCGGCAGGTTGTTGCATGTAAACGATGCTCAGTTGGTACTATTCCTTAGCCCCTCATCTGTTGTTCCGACAAGGTTTGGGGAAAACAAAAATATATATTTTATTTATTTATTTATTTTTTCTCCTGTTATTTGGTAGGAGGGGATAAAATGGCTCTTTTGATGTTGAAGGTCGTTGAACTTGTACCATTACACAACTACTGGCAGCATAACCCATTAATACAAGGCGCGATGGGACACTTTAAATTTTGTTTATGGCAAATTCTGACTCTACCCTCTGAATGTCGCAGCAGAAGTGGAGATTCATCAGACTAGGCATGGTTTTCCGATTTTCTATTCACCAAATTTAGTGAACACATTCAAATTGTAGCTTCAGTTTGTTCTTCTTAGTGGACAGGGGTGGCACCTGGCGTGGTCTTCTGCTGCTGTAGTCCAACACCTTCAAGGTTCAGAGATGGTCTTCTGCATATATTGGTTGGAACGAATGGTTATTTGAGTTACTCTTCCCTTCTTCAGCTTCAAGCAGTCTGGCCATTCTCCCCTGACCTCTGACATCAACAAGGCATTCTCTCTGAATTATATATTTTAATCTCTAATATATTGATATGATGATAAGAGAAAATAGCAATGCACAGTTTTTTGATTTATACCAACCCGCTCCTCCCTGCATGCCTACTTGTCTATTCTATAAAATTTGTCAATGACCACCGAAATGGTACAAATTATTAGGCACTTAATATTAAGTGTCACCTATTAGGGAATAATCTCTAACAGGCATTTTTTCCAGTTTCAAAGTCTAAAAAAAGGCTTCTGTTTTTTCTTTCTTTCTTTCTTTCTTTCTTTCTTTCTTTCTTTCTTTCTTTCTTTCTTTCTTTCTTTCTTTCTTTCTTTCTCAGAGCACATGGCAACATCATTCAGATTGCTTCTTTTGTCTCAACAACAATCAGAAGCCCAAGACATTCAGTTTTGCAATGCTATAAAGAGATGGTTGCATAGCATGTTTAGGAGGCGGGACCCATTTGACTTTTTTAATGATTGACTAATCAGCTAACTGACTGTTTCAGAATTACAAATCTGACTTAACTTTGCTTAAGTATTGCTGCACTTTTGCTTACACTGGCTAACCCTAGCTCCCAGTTTTTTCGGTACATCTAGCCAAAGCTAATGCAGTCTAAGACAGTGGTCCTGCCAACAATTGTTTTTCGTTAAAACTGTTTGCATGACTAGGTATTTTTTTCAGATAATGCTATAGGGTCTATACCTTACAATACGAAGAATGACTGATGTTATGTTCAAATGAAACCTAACTGAGCCTTAAAGCAGTTTCCTTAAATGTGTTTTACCTCAGTAAAACTTACAAACTGCTGAATGACTGTATGAGAAATATTCACTCTTTAACAACAACTCCCTCCTCTCTGTGTCTCAGTCTGTCTCCATCTTTGTGCTTCTGTCAGCTTGGCCAGAGGCTAGAACGCGATTGGTCGTCTGCGCTGCTGCGCCATTTGCTCTTTGGCTCACTGAAGGCCATGTGCTATGGATGCTGACTCACAGCGAAAAGGGAGGGGAAGGGTGTATGAGTTTTACAGTGTCTGTGTTTTGAGACTGAGAAAGAAAGAGAAGTGTGGGCGCTGGATGTAGATTTGTTTGTGTGAGTGTCTGTTGTAGAGACAGACAAGTACATGGCCATCTGTAAGCGGTTTAGCTACAAAAATAGGTCACACTATTGCACCTAGCAGCACCTTTCTCCTGTGCTTTCTGTCTCTCTCATTTCCTTTGTCTCTCCGCCTCTGCTGTCAAGGTTTTGCCATCTAATTATAGGGTTATTTGTCTCCCTCTCCATTGTCTTTCAATCTGTCTTGCTCCTTCTCTCTCACTACTCCACTCGGCTGTTGTTGCTATGACTACCATGCTCTGTGCTGGAATGCACAGTGTGGCATTGATTACAAAGGTGAAGAGACGCTCAAACAGATCATTAGAAATCTACTGGGTTCCACCAGAGACATTATGAGGAATCTTGAATAGAAATCTATGAAAGCATCCAACAACACCATAGACCACGGTTGTCCCACTCCCAGCCTTCAAAGAGCCAATCAGCAGCAGAACCAGAAAACATATCAGCCAATCACGCTGTTTCAATGACACAACATTCAAGGTTCACAGCACCGTATTGGTAAACAAATATAGAGACCGTGGCTCAGGGGGTTGGGAAGCATATCTGTAACCGGAAGGTTGCCAGTTTGATCCCCGGGCTCTCTGTCCTGGTCGTTGTGTCCTTGGGCAAGACACTTTACCCTACCGCCTACTGGTGTTGGCCAGAGGGGTCGATGGTGTGATATGGCAGCCTTGCTTCTGTCAGTCTGCCCCAGGGCAGCTGTGGCTACAACTGTAGCTTCCCTCCACCAGTGTGTGAATGAATAGTGGCATTGTAAAGCACTTTGGGTGCCCTGAAAATCGCTATATAAATCCAATCCATTATTATTATTATTATCTACTTGTTGTAGTAAAGATGTAGGTATGTCTGTCTCGCATGTTTCCTGTCTAACTGTAGCAATAATGTGAATCAGCATGACAGCAAGAGCTCCAATGGGATAAGCCAGGGATATTACAGGATTTAAAGCAACATACAAGATGAAAACCAAGCAAGCAAAAAAGATGTGACAAAAGAGTGAACTTCAGTTACAACCAGCACGAGAGACAGGAGTTAGTAGGACCTCCATCATACAGCCCTAGAGTTCAGCTGGCAACCACGTGGCAACCTCTGGTCTCTAGGGAAAAATTTGTATTCCCTGACCAGCTGACAAGAGTCTGCTGGAGATTGCTGGTGAAATTGTTGTAAAGAGGGTCATTGCTTTGGTAGTTTGCACAGAAGATGCAGATTTGTCTACAGACAGTCACTGAGAGGTTTTGAAACCAGAAACAGGAAAAAAGTTCTCCCTTACTGCTGCAACCAACACGTTTCAAAAGGCACACTTGTACTTTTAAGGGGAGACAAATAATCTCCATTTCTTCAATGCAAACTATGGGGGACTGTGGACAAATACTAGCGACAAAAGGAATTGCAAGGAAGTTTTAGTGCAGCACTGTATCCGGACCAATTTCACTACGCTGTTGATCGTCTGAGTTGTTTTTAAAAATAGTTCCCAAGGTCTTTCCAAAATGCGCTCCAGTGTGTGTAAAGAAAGACCAAACAAGTCTGACTTTCCTGTAAAAGTTAGGAAAAGTTGTAAAAGCTGTTGGATATATTTTATTGTGTATTTTCATATCTGATTCTCTAATTTGGTTTGCGATACTGAATCGAAAAATAACAAGCCCGGTCTTGCACCAGGTAAAAAGAATACTTACCTGGTGTGTCGAATAAGTCAAAATATGGTTTTAAAATCCTTATTCTAGAAAGAGTCTTCAAATACTTCAGGACTCGGTAGCACTGGCTTATTTGGGAGGGGTCTGTTCGCACAGCCAGACATGTACACCCCCACAATGACTTGTCCCCGAGTGGTAGAAATAAATGCTTGGTTGAGTGACCATGAAATGCAGCGATAGCCAGATAGCTTTCACTCCAGCCAGTTATAGATTCATGCTTCAGCCAGATTATAATACGAACACCGCGTTGCTGCCATGAATCTGTTACCAAGTGGAGATGAAATCAATTATTTATTTGATTAATTTCCCTCTCATGCTCATGCTATTTTAAGATTTTCATCTCTCAAAAAATCTGCTTCTCCAGGATATCAGATTAGGTAATAACATCCAGACTAATATGGAACCATGATTACGACGCTACGGTTTCCATTTATCGGATCAATGCACACAACATAGCCTTTGTACTGCAGGTAGACAGCAAACGAATTAATGGCATCAGCCTGGTTCAGCAGGGAAATCAAATTTATGAACATCTGCAACAGTGGCAGGTTTGTTTACTCATTTTAGAGGCCAAGACGAGTTCAGTTTGGGCGCTTTGCTCTGAACTTTGATGCGGACAGTAATATTCTTTGGACTGTAAACAGACTCAGGTAAAACCGCTGTATAGAGTCTGTTTCAATGCCAAGTGCATGCGTGCTTCCAAGATATGCACATGAAATCCTTTCACTGCTTTAACATACCTTCCACTTCTGTTTTTTTCTTCTCCCACCACCTTCTTTCCTTTCTGTCTCAGCTGAGGATAGGTATTCACACAGGTTCGGTGCTGGCAGGTGTGGTCGGTGTTAAAATGCCACGCTACTGCTTATTTGGAAACAATGTGACGCTGGCCAGCAAGTTTGAATCAGGAAGCCATCCCAGGTGTATCAATGTTAGTCCCACAACGTATCAGTAAGTACCTGTGCTGTATGTTGCATAAAAATGTGTTTCATATATACTGTATACAGTACCTTAAGTTATGGAAGTATACGCCCTCACAGGCTTTTTATTTGGTGTTACTGTTTTAGTGTGACTCATTATTCGATCATAACTTGATTTAATATTCACGTTATTTTACTTGACCTCTGTTTTACTTTTTTTAATCTTCTCTTATTTTCGTCTCTTTTCAACAGACTGTTAAAAGACGACCGCTCTTTTTCATTTGTCCCTCGTTCAAGGCTGGACCTCCCAGAGAATTTTCCCAAAGAGATCCCAGGGACATGTTACTTCCTGGAGGCGGGCACATCCCACAGTCACGCCTCACTGACCAGCTCTCGCTCCGCTCCTCCGGCCTCTATGAGGAAAGTCTCCTACAGTATTGGGACCATGTTTCTAAGAGAAACAAGTTTGTAGAGCCCATACACAGACCAGGTTACACAGTTAATTATTATGTTAGTGACTGGATTTTGAACTTGTGCAGGAAACCAATTACACAGATCTTTGGATATGCAAATGCATTATTTAAGAAAAACTTTGATTCAGACCTGTGGGATGGCCTGTATGAATGAAACTTTGAAAAGGCTTTCATCATAAGTGAAGAAGAACAACATGCCCTCGTCTCTCCTGAGCAAAAGAGATACGGTTCAAAAGACTTAAGGAACAGCTACTGCGCTAGTCTCACAAGGACCCTCCCCCAGGGAAGTGTACTGATGGAATCAATTAGAAGAGAAACCTTAATATAAACCTTCATGATCTAGCTGGATTCCTCAGCTCCAGACCTGGAATCTGGTTCTCTCTGACCTGCGTCTAAACACGGGAATGCTTGGAGAAAGCCTGGGGATAGACCAAACATATGACCGTAATTGCACTCAATAGAAATGGAACTGCGCAAATTGAACAAATCCACTTCCCATTAACAAACTGGGTGCTGAGTATAAAGTTGGGTGAATTTTTGCAAGATGGCAACATTGCCATAAACGTTTGCTGTGCATCATGGCCACTTTTACAAGGATGATAACAACACAGCAACCCCTTCCTCCCCTTGCAGCTGTCTCTATGTAACGTCATGCTTTACCAAACATACGTCTAACAACTGCTACTTGTTATATTAGGAAGCATCAACCTAGGAGAAGTTGGTTGTGGTCGCGGGTGATTAATGAGAGGCACAAAGGAGACAATTTAGTAGTCATCTAAGGACAAATGCCAAAACCACGAGCATTAGGCTGACTTTATAGGTCTGTCTGCTTCTAGCCTACTGAAAACTATAACTAACCCAAGTCCAGCCATTTCATTGCATATTATATGTGTAGGTCTGAAAATTATTCCCAGCTCAGTGCCTTTTTATTGCTCAAATTTGGACGGATATAAGATTAATTGAACTATATATATATACTATAGAAAATATAGGGATTGCTCAATTTATCTCATGTTTTAAGTTGTTTTATGACTTTTTAAAAAACGGTTAATGACATGAAAGGAAGAATGACATTTGCCAATGCTTTTAAGCCACTTTTGTATTTGTTGTACATTTCACTCTTGGATGGTAATGATTGGTTGGCAAGATAAATCAAGCCTTCCTCAAAGAATTCAGATATTTTAATTTGCATTCACTCGACTGTGTCCAGATCCAATACTACACACTAAATAGTACTTATAATACAGTACTGTGCCAAATTATACACTTAGTCGTAGTATGTGTATCTTACACAGTTCACACTTACACACATAACCTGTTTTAATGGCTTTATATTTTTAATATACAGTATGCAGTTCTCTACTAGCCCTATCAGGTGCAACCACCAGGTTTCAGATTACGTAGTAGTCTGAGTATAATTTGCTCAAGAAAATCAAGCGATGTCAAGCAAATTAATCTGAGACAGTCTTCATAAGCTATCATCATGCAGCGGGAGCTGAAGGTTTGAAGTTGAATAGTCTTTGTATATTTGATAGCCCCGGCAGATTTGGGTATTATTTTATAGTTGCTTTAAAGTGCTGCCAGTGTTCTTAAACAGTTGAGTAAAAAAATGTTTATATCAGTTTAAATGGTTGATTAAGGTAAAAAAAAATATACGGGGTTATAGTTTAAATTATATCGATATATATTTGATGTTAAATGAAATGTTTTTATTATGATATGAAGGGAACAGAGATAACAGCCTAAATGAAATTATTACTAATGGATGGCCCCCAACAAGCAAAAAACAAGCATAAGATCTGTTATTTAAATCCAAATGAGCGGTACTCATTGCTTCCTTTCCATGCTTGACAACATCACATTATTGCTCATGTTGCTTTAAATCTAACTTACTTAATAAACTGATAATAACATCTGTTCCGAAAGAAAAGAATGGCTTCGTCACTGGTTTACTCCTGCACAGATTATAGTTCATAATTTTAATAGAAATAGGATGTCGCAAATTCACTACATCTTGCCAAATGACATTCTTGTTGCTTGAACCCAACAAGATAAAATAAAAAAGTGCCAAATGTGTATTTAGACACGCCCGAACACCAGGTTTTATTCCTGCTTTCCACATCTTAATAGCTCGCGGTAGTAGCAGGGAGGAAAAACAACGGTTACACATTGAAACCCATTGATATAAGAGATCCAATAACAAATACCTTTTCTGCCCTCTAACTTAGACATTCACCAGCACAACTATGTGTTGTTCCAAACTGATGGTAATGGTGTTAAGAGGGCAAACAGCACAGATTTCCTTTTAAACTGCCAGTGTTCATTATTGCCATAAAATTCTGTCAGCAGAGTCTCAGATGGGAGGAAGCATTACAAAGCAATGAAGGCTTGCACATTTTAATTTAATTTAATTTTTTTTTACGTGTCACCATCATACCCACATTTCCTATTAACAAAAACGACTATTTCTAAAGTGTATGCTATGCAGTAGAGGGCTTACAGTTGGCTAGACAATAAACACATCAGTCAAAAACATGGCAGCGTAGCTTTTTGCCTAAAAAAATATTACGAGTTGCAACACAGCGAAAAAGTTTTTTATTAACATGAAACTAGGTGCCGTTGTTTAGTGGGACAGCTTTGCCATCTTAAGCTTAGAGTTTATCACTTAAAGACATCTGTCAACTTTAAGCTTAAATCAGTGGATTATTTTGCGTAGGGGGTTGCTAAACATTTTTATTACACTTTGTGGCAGCAGAGAAAAAAAAAAATCTGTCCAAGACCGTCCATTCGTTTTGTGTGATGCATGGAGAACCAGAATCTGCAGTAACCATCTGAGACATCAGCAAAACATGCATCTTATGTAAGTATTCATCAGTGGCTCAGAAGATTAGCATTTCTCTTTACATAAACTGTGTCAAGCCTATCAGTCAAAAGTAACGTGTATGTCAGACATAATGGTGTTCATCAGGTCTTCCAGAGTTAAGGGAGGTCGGTCTTTAAAGCCAGGGAAAGTAAAAAGGTGGTTATTGTTTTTTTAATTGACCATAAAGTTAGTTTTCACAGCTTTTCTGTGAGGTACCAGAAGGGTGATTTTATATGAAACCACAATTTTCAAAGTGTCTTTAAATTCTACCTAAAATTTTTTGTTATCGCTGCAAATAATCAACAATATTTGCATTGATTTCTTTTTTTGGAAGGACTCAACTACTGCGTTGTACCCACCAGTAAGATAACCCCCCAGAAACCTTGTTAAGTGTATTTGACAGCTGTGTTACTGAGCCTGGGGGGAGGTTTTTACAGGGCAGGCTTTCGCATACAAATGTACAAGTACTTCCCAGCTGTCATCCTGGCGAAAATGCATAGACAAATTAATGTATACTTGATAAATCTACTGTAGCATAAATGTAGTGCAGTGCCTAAATTTTTGCTGGTAGGCTTAAAATAGGACGTTACACCAGCATTACACCCACACAACTTGTGTCCAGTCCTTACATCTCCAAGTCTGTAGATTCTTGGCATAATAATAAATGTTTGGCCTGATCTAACAAGTTTATTTAGAAGCAGAGGTGTTGCAGGTACTGATTCTTTACAGTGATACACCAATGCACAAGTCGGTGACTTACTCACACACAGGCGTTCTTTAAGGTAACAATGGCAATACAACTGAGCTATAGTGTATAAATTGTCTCAAATAATGAACATGAACAAATACTGTTAAGTCAGTGTGTGAGGGTCCAACATCCAGTGAGACAAAGCCAAATACATCCATGACTCCTCCAGCTGTTGTCTGCGTGCCTGATTGCGTGACTTTGTGCGTGTGTGGGTCAAAAAATAGGAGATACTACAAACACCACTTATTAGCAACATCTGTACAATTTTAATTATGTAATGTATTCCAAATGGGAAAAAACAAACAAACCTGAAATTGTATTACGATTACTTTGCAGGTTCTTTTTGGTATAATTCCAAAGTGAATTGTGAGTTGTAGCAAAACAAGAATCTCTGCTTTGTTGTCCTTATTTTTTATTTCAGCTTTATACTTTCTGTCAGTATGTTTCATCCATCTAAAGGCAGGCTGGTTTTCTCGACGCACCTCTGTCCCACAAAACCTTCATGCGCTCGGTAATGTCTTCTTCTTCTTCTTCTTCTTTTTTTAAGAACTTAAAAAATATAGACACTTTTGTTACTTTTTCATTCTGTGTTTTACTGAATTAAATGATTTTGTTTGATGATGCATTCATGAAACATTTTCTTTAACTGAAATAGCATGAAAATATCATTTTTATTGAAGAATAAAGTTGCTATGTTTTTTGCAGGACATTGTTATAAACTGTTTTGTTGCCAAGTTCAGCTTCACCCCCACTGACATACAGTACAAAGGGTCAAAGATGATGGGAAACTGGACTTTGCTTGTTTTAACTGTCTAGTTTTAACAGCAGAAACAAATGAGGGTTGATGCCTGGGTCCGCCAAAAGATTTGTATTTCTATGTTCAGCTCCAACCTTTGAGAAATAGTAGCTTCCATAGGTTAATTTAGCACTAATTAATCATTTCATTTGAGACCCAGTGGTTTATAATCACATTCAAAAGTCTGCAGAGGCTCTTGTACTTTGGTGTTTTATGTTGTAAACATAGCAAAACTGAACCTGGAAATGAACCTCGTTTGACCCTGCTGTTGGAATTAGGTGCACTGTATATGGAAGGGGCATGATGACAACTGTTGGTTTCTGACTGACATTAAGGGCACATCTTATGTCTTATATGATGTAAATAAAAAACACCAAGTATCTTTAATAAGGAACAAAGCCTGTGGCTGTTACTGTGAATGCGTGCGATGACATGTCAATGAGTGTGTGAGACGGTGTTTGTGTGCAACTCTGGTAAAATTTAAAAACTAAGATCATATTAGCATAAATAATAATTGTAACAAAAAGTAGACTTTATTATTCTTTTTATTATTATACCAAATCAAATTTGACACTTTAGAGGTTGTGTGAACATCTTGTGACCAAACTTTACTTCTTCAAGAAAAGAAATGCTCAAGGATTAATATTAACACTTAATTCTGAAACAGGCAGGTTTAAGGTAAAGTGACACTTGATAGTTGAATAAGGTATAAGGGGATGGTACCACCGTGAGCCACGGGCATTGTTACCTGTTGTTTTGGAGCCTTTAGCATTTTGTCTGCCAATATCCTGTTTTTTTCATAGTGGAAATGACAAGCAAGAGGTAGATCTCACTAAGACCCGCATTGTTTGTAGCAACACAAGGCATTTGTTACCTTTTTAACGAAATAAAAATAGCGCTGTACTAGAAAAAAAATAAAATTCAACATCTTTGTGCTGCCAGAGAGGTCGCCTCCTGCTGGCTGCTGGAAGGGATGCAAGTTTAAAGCACTGTCACACTTATTTATTATATAGGCCTTTAGTGTTTTGAGCTTGCACTTCAGTAGCAATTACAGCATTAGGTAGTGTGACACCTTCCTGCAGGCTTGTGCAGACGTGTGGATGTGTTTATCTCTAAATCAGAAGATAAACAATCGAAAAGTAATGTCTTAATAAATTTGTCTTGTTACTATTGAAGCTCCCTATCACCATTCATTCTCCACCTTAAATGCCAAAACGGACGTAAATGGACGTAGCGTTTTTGGTGAGAGAAATGTTTTGTCACTCACACAGCATTGTAAGATGGTGTAAGATGCATCCTTAGGCCCCCTCCTCGATTCAGAGATGGGCTTTCCCTTTACTTACCTGGATGATTGAGCATGCATCAAGACATTTTTTTCTCTCCACCTTAAAGTTGTGTTTGAAAACAGAAGCTGACAAGCGTTACACATTAATGACGGTTCAGTTCTGCTTAAACATCTCAGTTTGTTCTGACAATGTAACAGAGAGTCTATGCGCTCAATAGCAGGGCCGTTTCATTGAACCAGATAAAGGCTGTTCCTGTTGAAATGCAGAACCAATACAATCAATAACATTATGAAAGCAATTTGAAGGATCATACATGTGCTGCAAAGGTAAATGATCTCTTTGCTGAATAATTGCAATGTCTTCAAAATAAAAGTATTTTACTTATTTTTCTAAAAGTACCCGAAGGTTTTAATTCTCTAACTTCTGTGTGTCTTATGTTCTTCAACTCAACAAACTGTCTGCTTGCTATGATGCTCAAAGAATGCATAGTCTCTCACTAACTAGAGTTTAAGTTTACTATTATCTGCCAAATTTTTCCAGCCTTCATTCAATGCATTAAATAATATCAATTGCATGTAACAAACCAGTCTATTTTAAAAGTTATTTTTGCTTATTTTGTGTATTTTACTGTATCAATCCTCTCAGATATTGCAGTGCTGCTGGTAATGTGATGACAGCTTTGGTTGTAACAGTCAATGAACACGACACAGCCAGAAGCCTGCAAAGATTTTTATGAACCTTCCAATGATGTTTTCCTTTCTTTTTACCTTTGTTCCTCATTCCTCCATCCCTCCAGCCCTTCATCTGTCCCTTCTCCCTTTATCTTTCCCCCTTCCTTCTAACTATGCAAATACACCCCCATTACCCTAATTGGCTCTGGGAGGTTTGAATATTTCATGCAGATCATCTTCACTGATCAGGTGGGTGAATGTGGTCTTCGGCATAACGTCGAGCAGGTGCTAATGGAAATCACACGTAAACAATGTAGGTAAGAACGAATGAACAAAGGTCAGGTTATTTTCACACTGTGCCAGTCGTATTAGCTCAATTAAGTAGGAGTTATAGAGGTTCTGATAGTATTAGCAGTTCAACAGGGAATTATGTTGTTGTGGGGTGAGGGTATGTGCATCTGAATGAATTATGTAGTTATTATTCATGGATGGATCTGTAGAGGAAATCCTCTGCTCTCTGATTCTCATTGAGGAGCATATGGTGTGCTCTACTTGACCTCTTGGGAGAATTTCTGTGGGAAAAATGATGGCAGAAAAAATATAGCAGAATTGACTGACCTCTAAGAAAGGGTTGCGCATAAATTGTACTCTTCCTTAAAAACTGTGATTTGTGTTCAAAAGCATCATGCTTAGCCTTTTTGTAGTCTGAGAAGGTTTTTTTTGTCTTATCCATTACTAAAGAATTACTTTAATGAAATCTTTAATTTTCCTAGCTGTAATTGTTACAATGTTGCTGTTAAAACAATTTCATGTTTTTGTATTTTATGCAGAAATTAGATACAAAAATTAGCCCGATTGTAAGCCTTCTCTTTCTGCCTTAAACTGTCACACAGCATGCTATCAAGGTTCAAATGAACTTCAAACTTAATGCATGTTTACATTATATTCCCTATTAAATAACCTCAAAAAGTTATTTACTATACCTTTTAAACTGTCTGTCAGAGCAGCCTGGTGACACTGGGACACTATATAGCATAGCTAGCAGGTCAGGTTGGTCTGGAAATAAACACGGTGGCCCCAAAAGACTGCAGAATTGCCACTACGTACACTTTTTCTCACAGTTAAATTTCATAAAATAAGAATGTGTGGTGAGAATGTGCTGTACAGTGGCTCTGGCTTTAAACTATAATGGAGATAAAAAATAATA